TCCCTCTGCAGTGATCATGGAGCCCAAGAAAGTAAAATCTGTCACTGCTTCCATATCTTCCCCTTCTATTTCCCAGGAGGTGATGGGACCAGTGGCCATGATCTTGGTTTTTTTTATGTTCAGTTTCAGACCGTTTTTTGCACTCTCCACTTTCACCCTCATTACAAGGTTCTTTAATTCCTCCTCACTTTCTGCCATCAGAATGGTATCATCTGCATATCGGAGGTTGTTGATATTTCTTCCAGCAGTCTTAATTCCGGTTTTTGATTCCTCCAGTCCAGCCTTACGCATGATGTATTCTGCATATAAGTTAAATAAGCCGAGGACTATATACAGCCTTGTTGTACTCCTTTCCCAATTTTGAATCAATCAGTTGTTCCATGACCAGTTCTGACTGTTGCTTCCTGTCCCACATATAGGTTTCTCAGGAGATAGAAAAGGTGGTCAGGCACTCCCATTTCTTTAAGGACTTGCCATAGTTTGCTGTGGTCCACACAGTTAAAGGCTTTTGCATAGTCAATGAAGCAGAAGTAGATGCTTTTCTGGAACTCTCTAACTTTCTCCATAATCCAGCACATGTTAGCAGTTTGGTCTCTAGTTCCTCTGAACCTTCGGAATCCAGCTTGTACTTCTGGGCGTACTCAGTCCACATACTGCTGAAGCCTACCTTTTAGGATTTTAAGCATAATCTTGCTAGCGTGGGAAATGAGTGCAATTGTACAGTAGTTGGAGCATTCTTTGGCACTGCCCTTCTTTTGGATTGGGATGTAGACTGATCTTCTCCAGTCCCCTGGCCACTGTTAAGTTTTCCAAACTTGCTGGTATATTGAATGTAGCACCTTAACAGCATCGTCTTTTAAGATTTTAAATAGTTCAGCTGGAATGCCATCACCTCCACTGGCCTTGTTGTTAGCCAGGCTTTCTAAGGCCCACTTGACTTCACTCTCCAGGATGTCTGGCTCCTTATGTACCAAATTATTTACATAATTTGGTAAATAATGTCAAATCTCTTTTGACCCTAAGCTTCTAATTTAAAAAGAGAAATTTTGGTTTTCATATTAGACTCCATTTCTTAGAATGGCCTGAACAAGAATCTAGCCATTGGTCCTACAAGGCCAAATATAGTTGCTTGCAAACCTTTTACTCACACAATCCACACATTTCTTTGATTCACCAAGGCACTGGATGTCTGAGAGCAGCAAATTTAATCCCAAAGCATGAGAATAGCTACACCAGATGGCAAAGTTAGAGACCAAACAAAACAGGGATAGAAACAGAGCTGAATTAAGCACTGAAGGACATCTAATTAGCTTCTATGTCTCTCACAGCTTCTCAAGTTGTGATTAGTTTACTTTTCTTTGGTAATTGGTCATCAAGAGGAAACAGTGGGCTCTGTTTGCATTTTGATTTTACAAATATAGCAATTTTGAAGATGTATATATAGAAAAATGTCTTATTGGCTCCTAATTGGGAAGCTGTTGCATCTTTGTGTTTTTGCTGTTACTGCAATTTGTTGTTTTTATGTGGCATCACACATAATTATTATCACCTTCTTTTCTAGTATGATTTCTATTACTGTTTACAGTTGTGTTCAAAATTATTCAACCCCCACTGAAATTGGATGTTTTGGCCATTTTGACATTGATTTTGATCATTCAGTCATCTTGCTTATATTTACATGAAAGAGGCACTTGTAGGTCAGAGAAATATAACCTTAAGTTTATAATGAAATAACCACAAATGTCTTTTCTGTGCTCACATCATTATTAGTTTTTATTCAACCCCCAAGTGACATTCAATCTTAGTACTTAGTACAACATCCTTTTACAGTTATAACAGCTTTTAAACGTGAAGCATAGCTTGACACAAGTGTCTTGCAGCGATCTACGGGTATCTTCGCCCATTCTTCATGGGCAAAAGCCTCCAGTTCAGTCAAATTCTTAGGCTTGCGCACTGCAACTGCTTTCTTTAAGTCCCACCAGAGGTTCTCAATCGGATTTAAGTCTGGTGACTGCGATGGCCACTCCAAAATGTTCCAGCCTTTCCTCTGCAACCATGCTCTAGTGGACTTGGAGGTATGCTTGGGATCATTGTCCTGTTGAAAGGTCCAACGTCTCCCAAGCCTCAGGTGTGTGACGGACTGCATCACATTTTCATCCAATATCTCCTGGTACTGAAGAGAATTCATGGTACCTTGTACACGCTGAAGCTTCCCTGTACCTGCAGAAGCAAAACAGCCCCAAAGCATTATTGACCCTCCGCCATGCTTCACAGTAGGCAAGGTGTTCTTTTCGTCATATGCCTTGTTCTTCCTCCTCCAAACATAGCGTTGATCCATGGGCCCAAACAGTTCTAATTTTGTTTCATCAGTCCACAGAACACTATCCCACAACTTTTGTGGTTTGCCCACATGACTTTTGGCATACTGCAGTCGACTCTTCTTATTCTTGGGAGACAGCAAGGGGGTGCGCCTGGGGGTTCTGGCATGGAGACCTTCATTACGCAGTGTGCGCCTTATTGTCTGAGCTGAAACTTCTATACCCACATCTGACAAATCTTTTTTCAGTTCCTCAGCAGTCACACGGGGACTTTTCACCACTCTACGCTTTAGGTAGCGCACAGCAGTCGAAGTCAGCATCTTCTTTCTTCCACGACCAGGTAGCATTTCAACAGTGCCCTTTGCCTTGAATTTGTGAATGATGCTTCCTATGGTGTCTCTTGGTATGTTTAACTTCTTTGCAATCTTCTTATAGCCATTGCCCTTCCTGTGAAGACAAATCACCTCTTCTCTTGTCTTCCTGGACCATTCTCTTGACTTCACCATGTTTGTAACCACACCAGTAAATGTCTAGAAGGAGCTGAGTATCACAGTCCTTTTAAAGCTGCCTAATTGGTGCTTATTATGCTTGATTGGTGCTCGGTGACATCCACAGGTGTTTTCAATACCTGATCAAAAACACCTGAATGAACCTCTCTTCTTCAGAGTGGTAGTCTTTAAGGGGTTGAATAATTGTGGCAATGAAGAAACCACAAAAGAAACATTTACTACTGTATTACATAAACAATTGATGTTATTTTAGTTGCATTTGGTTCTTTAAAACGACCTTGTAGGATTTCATTCTGAATACAATTCCAAATGTACACTATAGTCCCTAAACCCCTTTACAGCATTGGGGGTTGAATAATTTTGAACACAACTGTATATCAAGACTATTTTGGAAAATTATTGATACTAATGAAAAGCAACTGTGACCAATGGAACCTTCATATTCAGTTGTCAAAAATACATTGACTGTAGACAGCAGACTACCTTAAGGATCAAAGAACAGGTTACATGACACACATCACATAAAATACCATTCTGCTGACTGGGGAGATACTGTATCTCACTTTACTTAATGGCATGTCTACCCCTAGTGCTGCAACTAGTATGTTGTATCACTGGCCAAAATCCTATTGCTTAGTGTAGCAAATGGCATTAAAGTAGGTCCATTGAATCAATTGGAGAATCAAGTCCTTTGTAAGTTCTATTGATTCAAATGGGCCTACTTGTAACTTACTTTAGGATAGTAAGTTGCAGTTAGAGTAGGCCCATTTGAATCAATGAAACTTACAGGGGAGCTGTCATTAAATCCCTATTGATTTAATGGGCTTCTTCTAGTGCATTTTGCTATGCTCAGCAACAGGATTTTGGCCACTGTGTGAGCATCACACAGTCTTATTGGTGTTAATAGTTAATGGTGAGAGAGGGAATTTCACTTCATGCAGACACTAATATGTCAAACCCTTATCCAGCCCTTAAAGGTAAAGGTTCCCCTTGACAATTTTTGTCCAGTCGTGTTCGACTCTTGGAGGCGGTGCTCATCCCCGTTTTCAAGCCGTAGAGCCAGCGCTTATCCAAAGGCAGTTTCCGTTGTCACGTGGCCACAGAATGCGGTCTACCTTCCCACCGAGGTGGTCCCTATTGATCTAGTTGCATTTGCATGCTTTCGAACCACTAGGTTGGCGGGAGCTGGGACAAGCGACGGGCGCTCACTCCGTCATGTGGATTTGATCTTACGACTGCTTGGTCTTCAGACCCTGCAGCACAGGCTTCTGCGGTTTAGCCCGCAGTGCCACCATGTCCCTTATTCAGCCCTTACATTTGATAAATCATCTCTCTTTTAAAATTTTCATTTTGTTTAACCTTTAGTTCTTTGGATTTTGGGTGCTGTATGGTTTTTTTTGACCAGTTCCTATCGTACAAAATCTGAAATAGCCTCCAACACTGTAACAAGCAGGAATGTGCTCTTTCAAAGTTGGTTGATGCGTTACTATAACTTAGAAGTCCATTCAGAGTTGATCTCAGCAGTGACTAATAAGTATTTGACATGGTTTTAGTGATCAGGAGTGAAAGCCTGCTGTTATACTGCATGATGTCCTGCCCCAAGGTGTATCTAGATTTGGCATGCTTACCTACAGGGGTGTCAGCACAACCAATTATGGATTGTCTTTTTTTAGTGGGTGATTTCTGACAATGACTAGAAACAGGCTGTTTTAAATATATGTATTTTCGAGCAAGGCCCAGCCTAAGTGCGGGTTATCCAGTGACTTTTTGCCTTTTCACTGTTTCATTTCCAACAGGTCTGTATTTACTGCATTACTGCAATTTTGTGGAGAGCTGCAAAATGCAATTTTCCACCTGATCACAAACTTGTGTTGCCAAGGAAACTGAAAAATTTCCTTTTGGATATGGCAAGAAAGAAGTCAGAAGACAGGCCTTCTCTATCAGATGCAATTAAGGTGAATTGAATTAAGCACTTTCAGTTTTAAAGGGACTGTTATCCTGAAAGTTAGCTTAAAGCGAATATGATTTTCAAATATTTTTGTAACCATTTCAGTTTCAAATCAGCTTAAATTGTTCATGATTATACTTGTGCCTTAATTGTCTTCTAACAATAAATGTGCATCTGTAAATTATAAATAATTAAATTATTTTAAGTAATTAAATGTAATTAATTAATTAATTAATTGAATAAAATTTTTAATTGATGAAATGGCATTAATTTCCTATAGTTAAAAGCATTGCAAGAATTATTTTTTTTCCTTTTTGAAAGCATCATTTTTCCACCTATCTATCTATCTATCTATCTATCTATCTATCTATCTATCTATCTATCTATCTATCTATCTATCTATCTATCTATCTATCTATCTATCTATCTATCTCCCGCCTATCTGGTCTTGCGACCACTCTAAATTTAACAAATTTATGTTTCTAGATATGCAATAGCTATCTGCTTGAACAAAGTTTAAACAGCAAGAAGATTCTGAAGCGTTTGATTAATTATGCTTTCCAGGTAGTTTTATTTTATATACTTTATTTCTGTGTGTTTTAATTCCCATGAAGTATGTTCATAGATTTTTATTTGATTCCATAAATGCTTCCATTCTCACCTTGGAAATCAGTACAGTGAATAATGTTGAGTATTGCAAAAAAAATCCTGATTAAACAGAGTAACAGAAAAAATAAATACAATTAAGATTCTTTTCATTGTATGTGTACATGTGTCAACCTTCATTTTTAGAAAATTTACTTCTATTTATCCAAACAAACAATGTCAGACTAGGCTAGCCACATGTCCTAAAAACAGAAACCTTCAATGTTCTCAGGTGGTGAAATCCTGAATATATATACACGCTACTCTGAATTCTTAATCACTTTATTGTTGATTTAACTACTTTGGTCATTCAACCACCATTAGCATTACAATTAAATCATAAGTACAAATATAAATGTGCATATAGAGTGTTAACTTAACAAACAAAATGCTAGCAAATTAAAAACCATACATCACTCAAGGGTCTTAGAAAGTATTTCTCTTATGATTTATGCAATTTGCACTTGCGGAATTTACATACTGTTCTGTAAAACACAGCCTTAAAAAGCTGCTAAAATTGTTTCAGGCTGCAGAATGCCACAGAGGTGGAAAGGCTATTCTGTGCATATGCCTCCCCTACCCATCATTAGATTAAATGAAGTTTGTCAGTGTGAATTCAAAATGTGCAAATGCTTGTCTAATTATCAGGCTGCCACTCAAACTAACTCAGGAAGGATAGTTTAGAATCTAAAGTTCCACGGGGGGGAATGGCAGAATCAGGTTAACAAAGACAAGCAGTATCTGAGAATTCGTAAAGTTTTTGCTTTTGATACAACACTCGTATCAATATCTATACTTTGTATAAATACTTTGCATAGATAGACAGATGTAAAATTATTCAAGGGGAAAGAAACTTCCTTAGTATTCCATCCTCCTCCTCTTCATCATCATGTGCTGTCAAATCAATTCTGACTTACAGTGAATATTTTCAGGGTTTTGCAGGTAGAGAATATTCAGAAATGGCTTACTGTTCTATTCTTTTTGGATTATTGTGAGATTCTGCAGCTTGTCCAAGACCATACAAGCTGGCTATCCTCACAGGAGGCCCAGTAGAGTATCACAGCACCAAACTCCCAACATTTGGCTCTGCAGCCAGATAAGTAAACTATTAAGCTATCCAGCCAACTTAGCATGCCTAGGAACTACAGTCAAGCGAAAAAGAAAGTGCACCTCTTTGAATTCCATGGTTTTACTTATCAGGATACAGTATAATAAAAATCATGTAGTCCTTAGCAGGTCTGAAAATTAGGTAAATACAGTGGTGCCTTGCATTACGAGCGCTCCGTTTTACGACAAAATCGCTTTACGTTGAAGGTTTTGCGATCGCTGCTTCGGGAACCAATTCTCGCAAAGCGATGATTTTCGGCCAGCTGATCAGCGGTTTCAAAATGGCCGCGAGGTAAAAAACACGGCTACCCGCTCTTTTCTGGGACGGATTCCTCGCTGCAGAGGCAGTGAAAATGGCCGCGCTATGGAGGATCTTCGCTGGACGGTGAGTTTCAAGCCCCTAGGAACACATTAATCCCGTTTTAATGTATGGGCTTTTAAATTTCGCATTACGATGTTTTCGTTCTACAGCAATTTCGCTGGAACGAATTAACATCGTAATGCGATGCACCACTGTACAACCTCAGATGAACAGCAACACATGACATATTACATTATGTCATGATCTATTTTACAAAATAAAGCCAAAATGGAGAAGCCATGTGTGAAAAATAATTTGGAGTAATCATTTTCTGTATGACTATATCACTCTCACATGGTCGTGGAAGAATTTTGGCCCACTCTCTTCTTCTTCTCCTTCTCCTCCTTCTCCTTCTCCTTCTCCTTCTCCTTCTCCTTCTCCTTCTCCTCCTTCTCCTTCTTCTTCTTCTTCTTCTTAATATTTTTTATTTTCCTCTTCTTTACAATGTTGCTTCAATTCGTTGAAATTTGTGGGCATTTGTTTGCATAGCTATCTTAAGGTCCCAGTACAGCATTTCAATTGGGTTGAGGCCTGGACTTTGACTGGGCCATTGCAACACCTTGATTCTTTTATTTTTCAGCCATTCTGATATAAATCTGCTGGTATGCTTGGGATCGTTGTTGCATGACTCAGTTTCTGCCAAGCTTTAGCTGTTGAACAGATGGCCTCACATTTGATTCTAGAAAACTTTGGTATACAGAGGGGTTCATAGTCAATTCAGTGACTGCAAGATGCCTAAGTCCTGTGGGTGCAAAACAAGCCCAAATCATGCCTCCACCAATGTGCTTGACAGTTGGTGTGAGATGTTTGTGCTGATATGCTGTGTTTAGTTTACACCAAACGTGGCACTGCTCATTATGGCCAAACATCTCCACTTTGGTTGTGTCTCTCCAAAGGACACTTTTCCAGAATTATTGTGATTTGTCCATATGCAAATTAGTAAATCTAAGCTGTGCTACCATGTTCTTTTTAAAGAGAAGATGGTTTCTCCTGGCAGCCCTTCCAAACCAGCCGTACTTGTTCAGTCTTTTTTAAATTGTAATGTCATGAACTTTAACATTTAGCATGCTAACTGAGGCCTGTAGAGTCTAAGGTGTAATTCTTGGTGGGTTTTTTTTTTTCAGTTTTCTGAGCATTGCACAGTCTGATCTTGGGGTGAATTTGTTTGAACGTCCACTCCTGGGAAGAATGGCAACTGTTTTGATTTTCTTTCCACTTTTGAATAAACTTCCTCACTGTAGAATTATGGACTTTACTTTTTTTTTTTAATTTGCTTGTAACTCTTCCCAGATTGATGGGCAGCAACAATTGCTTCTCTGTGAGAATTGTTAGAACAGTAAGGCAATGGAACCAATTAGCGTATGTTTCCATATATAAGACGATACTTTTGTCTAAAATATACCAGATCGGCGGGATATAAATCAATCAATAAATAAATAGACTGAAAATTGTGAGTCGTCTTATACACGGAAGTAAGCTGAGGAGAGAAAAAACAAGTGGAGGGGAAAGCAGGGGTCAAACTGATCCCCTCCACTTGCTAAGCCTTAGTGCTGCAGGATGGGGCTTAGCAAAAGGAGGGGGAAATGATCAAAGCAATCCCATGGCTGTGTAAGGGGCAAAGGGATCAAAACAATCATGCAGTCCCGGAATTGCTTTTATCCGTTTCCCCCTCCTTTTGCTAAGCCCCATGGGGCTTAGCACGAAGGGAGAAAGCAGGGATCAAAGTGACCCTGCAGTGCTTCCATCCCTTCCCCCTACACTTGCTAAGCCCCAGTTAGATTTCTTAATTTTGGGTTAGAAAAATGGGGGGTGTCTTATACACGGAAAAATATGGTACCTTGAAAGGTGGTGAATGCTCCAGCACTGGAGGCATTCAAGAGAAATTTAGACAACAACCTGGCAGCTATTGTTTGATTTGTATTCCTGTGTTAAGCAGGATGTTGGACTCAATGGCCTTATACACTCCTTCCAACATCATTATTCTGTGATTGTGTGATTCTATGATTATTTATGTTTTTCTTTCTTGGCACTGTGTCAACACACACCTGAATACTCCAGACTAGCAAACTGCTAAAACTTTGGCTTTTATAGAGGTGGTCACACTTGCTGATGGTCAGTTAGTTACTCAAGGGCATTTGTTTGGAAGCACCTGGCAGCTGCTTAGCCACTTAATTCCTCTAGAAGTAGTAAGGGTGTACTTAGTTTTCACACATGACTTCTCCATTTTGGCTTTATTTTTTATTAAATAAAACATGACACCGTATAATATGTCATGTGTTCCTGTTCATCTGAGGTTGTATTTACCTAATTTTCAGACCTGCTAAGTACTAGATGATTTTTTTATTATGTCCTGATACATAAAACCATACAATTCAGTGAGGGTGTACTTCCTTTTTCATATGATTGTACATTATTACATTTGATTTGATATACCTTTGTTTAGCCTCTGAACCATCAAAATCTTTGTATCTTTGTTTTGACGCCTATGACTGCCTTTTTCCTAGATATAGGGCAGCCAGACTGTCATTCTTTCTAGTTCCTCAATTGTGAAAATAACCTAGAGTCTAACTGACCTGTACTATTGTTCCTCATGAGTTTTGAATCTTTGTTCTAAAAGGTAGTAGTCCAAGTCTTCTAATGTTTCTCTTGACCTACAGTGGTACCTTAACTTAAGAACTTAATCTGTATTGGGACTTCGTTCTTAAATCGAAACGTTCTTAAGTCAAAGCATCATTTCCCAGAGGAATGAATTGAAAACCGATCAATGCATTCCAAGGGAAGAAAAAAGGCAAAAAGGCAGGGGGAAAGGGCTGGAAATTCAAATTTCCTGCCCTTTCCCCTTGCCTTTTTACCTCTGGAGATCTCCAAGGGCTTTCCCCTACTGTGCTGATATTTAACAGATACTTAGGTTTTTGCTTAAAACTTGTATTTGTTATATAATACCAGTCAATGTTTTATAATTTTGACTGGGCCGGGTGTTTTTGAATCACCCTGATCTTCATTTATTTAGTTTATATGTCACCTTTCTCCCAAGTTAGGATTCAGAGCAACTCACTGGATAATTTTTTTGAAAAAGCCAACATATCATAGCATGGATTGCAATTGCTAGCCCAAACTAAAATAGACCCATTGAATCAATGAGCTTTACATAGGTGTTCACTTATTCAATAGTTGATTTAGCAAATCTGCTTTAGATGAGATTACAATTGGATTTAGGCCCATAGGTTACTATAATGTTAAAAAGACATTTTAACTGATTGTCATACCTGTTGTGTTAAATGTTTCTTCACTTTTTTGCTCTCCTCCCTTAGCAAAATACGATGCTAACATAATTTAGACATTTTGATATTTTGTATTTTTCCATGTTTCTAAACAATCCTGGACAGCCCTTAACTGTGTCTTGCAGCCATATACTTGTACAGACAACACTGTTTTTCTTCAGAGTCTTCTCTGTTCTCTTATCTCCACTAGCCGTGCATTATATAATTGGATCTGTGCTGTATGAGTACATACTGGAAGCTGACAATTTCAAACTGAGTCCACTAGGACAGGGTTGGTTTCTAGTGTTCAGGCTCCATTAATTAAAAACTCCAGGGCCTCATAATGCTGTGCTGTGCTGAAATGAGGAAATTTTTTAGAGCAGAAAGAGTGTCTGGTACACCTAGATGGTGGCTCTCCTGATTTAATTATGTACTTTGTAAAAATGGCTAGAATGTGTGGGGAAAGAGGGCCATGAAGAACTAGTCCACCCCTTCCCTTTTTCATTTTTGTGTTGCCATGGCAGCAGAATTAGAATGTGCTTGCTCTTTTATATGAGCAAAATATTCAGTGGTTTTAAGGTAGGCTTGGAAATTTCTGCCATGTGACTTGAACAACTAAAACAAATTGACATGAAATTCCTCATTTTGTGCAAAGAAGGCAGAAGCCAAAACATCCTCCTTGAATATTGGTTTGTTAGTCACTTTTGTATGTGTATACATATATGCATTTGAGGAGCAGATTTACAGGTGGGTTTGAGAGAGGTTAGTGCAGTACATGATTTGTGTACCTAAGGTATCTTGATCTCTAGATAGAGCTGGGCAAACACCCGGGAGCTATTGGCAGTCAGTTCAGACGGTACAGTATTCAAAGGATCTGATTCAATCTAAGTCAGGTTCATATGTTCCTAAACTTCCTAAAAACAGTCCATGCATTCTTTCCAGGAAGTATGCACACAAAAATTGAAATCATGTTAAATGCTGAGTCGTTTCAATAATCATTTTATACAAAAGAAACATTTATTACTGTTCTGAAAATGACATTTGACTCAAGGACTTGCATCTTTGCTTTTATTCTTCTGACTATCTCAAATTGGAAGCCCTCAGGACAGAGGAGAGGAAAATGTAAAGAAATAAATATTTGTATTTATTGCTTTTCTTCTTAAAGACTGAACTTCTAATGCTTTCTTAAAACTACTTTGCTGCTAAACTTTGAAAGTAGATTCCTGTAATGATAGCTTGTCTTTTGATTTTCAGAGTGTGATAAATTCAGCAGATGATAATTTGGGTGAGTACTTCTACAGACAGGTGTCTCTAAATATTTATTTTGGGAGAATGCTGCTACATAACAGGTCCAGTTCTTTTAGAAATAGTCCTAGTATGTCAACAGTTGTTTATCCGGTCTTTTTACTGAATAGATTCTTCTCTCTTTCTGTTCATCCATTTCCACCTACAGGATTTTTACCCATGAGCAATGAAAGTAAACTGATAGCAGTGAAAGGACCGGTCCCTTGCCAGCTGTCCTTAAAAAGAGAAAATGTAATGTTGCCAAATGCTTTCACTTCTTCAGCAACACACTTTAAGCCTATTATCCTACATCAAAATACAGATGTTAAAAAGTAAGTGTTTCATGTGAAATAGGGATAATGTCCCAACATTTGATGTGAGGAAATTTAAACTTATTTAAAAGAAAAAATTACATTGTGTTTAGAGAGTTACATCCTAATGTGTTTCTGTTGGCAACCCAGTTTATTGGGCACATTCCTCTTCAGATGTCTTTGAGCAACGTTCCTTAGCAAGGCATGAAGTAGATTTCCTATTTTCACTGGTGTCATAGTAACAACCTAGAATTATTTTACTGGATCTGATCAGAAGTCTATTTAATTCTTTCTCTCTCCACCCAAGAATAGAAGCCAATCAGAATTCTACCCACAGCATTTGGAACAGAGCACTGTATTAACTCCTCCTCCCAGGTGGCGGAAAAAGAACGTGTTGCCTCAGCTTTCCCTTAACCAGAACTTCTTGTATCATCTAAACCTAGCAAACTGTGGTTTTGACAGTGTGGTTAGTGGCAAAAAAGCCAGCTTCAAGTTATGACTGGTTTGTTTAAACAAGCCTGTAGTTATTGTCTACGTGTACTACACATAAAGTTGTGGTTAATCAAAAGAAGCGAAAGCTTTTAATTGACTTGTCATGGCCATGAATAGAATAAAAGAGATAGGGGGAAATCATGTGAACCCTTACATTTTGCTATGCTATGATTTAACTTAATTGAGTTACATGGACTGCTTTCCCTGGATCTTAAAATAGTCTTTGGAGGAACTTCTTTAGGGACCTTATGAGGTGAAGTGGGGCAAGTGGCAACTAGCAAGAAGGCTTTTTGCAGCTGTGGTGTACTTCTTATGGAGTATCCCTCCTCAGGTAAAGCCATGCAGCACTTAAATCTCTTCTGCACCAACAGATGACCCACTTATTTTTCCAGGGTTTTAAATCTTCCTATCATCCAGTGGCTAGTAGATCTTTTGATATGTTTGGAGTCGTAAAATGTGTGGAAGGTTTTATTGCTACCATTAATCTGTTTGTCAATTTAAAAAGAAACAACAATCATGTGTGATTACCACCAATTTCTTTGTTGCGAGTTATATTCAATTGACAGAAGCATTTAAGGTGAAATAATCCCATAAATATTGACTGTAAATTGTTGCTCATTGACAAGATGCTGAGTGCATTTCCGGAGGTGTGCCTGGTAGGGCACATGCCAGGAACATAGCCAGCTCCTCCTTAATAGGCACCAATTTTCCACCAAGACTTCCACTATTTCTCTTATGAAAGCATTAGCATTAGGCTGTAGCATCCTGGCCAGTGCATTATATTAGAAAATATAATACAGGTAGTGTTTCCAGCTTTTCTTTTACAATTAAACTTTTGGTCTGACTCCAATGCAGGATTTTTCTGGAAGTGATGAAAGAGAATTCAAAGTAAATGTGTGGGTAGTTGTAGCTGAGATATTGTAACTCTTAAAGAGACTTTGGGAGTGATGTGTAGGAAGGAAATGCTATCTAAATTTTAAGCAACAGCTGCAGTTATAGCAAGTAGATGGAGAAATGAGCAGAGTCAAATTGGCAGAACTGTTCCATGTCTATTTCAAAATAACACACACTTGTGGAAGTTGTTCAAGTTGTAGTTTTGGTTTATTGAAGTTCTCTGTTACAAAACATTTTTTGTTTTGTTTTTCAGAGACTCCTTTGCATCTGTGGTGGCACATGGGGAAACAACTGCAGAGAGAGCAGGACCTGTGGATGAAAAACATACAACATATTTAAATATTGATGCCAAAACCCAGCAAGATGGAGGCCCTGATTTGCTATCTGACTGTGTGGCATCTGGTATGCTGGAGCACAGTAAACAAAAAACAGAAATATTTCTTCAGCATCATCCAGAAGAGCAATATACAAACACTAATTTACCCATGCCTACATTACCACTGCTTTCTGAATCTTCTTGTGTCTCTCAAGAAGAGTGTAATGAACAAACACCTTCTTCAGACCTCTCAGACTGTACTGTGGGGTCGAGCATGACTTTCATAAATAATTTTCTCTTGAAGCAGGACCCAGAGACAAGAGTCTTAACTCTTGTACCAGTGCAGATAGCTGTATCTGAGCAAATACCAAATAAACCTCTTCATTCAAAAACAGCTTACAGTTGTTCTAGTCTGCATGTCCTCCTTTCAGATTCTGTACGGAACTATGATGCTGGAAAAGCTGTACAGCAAAATTCATCCGGGTGCAGTAAAAAAGATTTCAAACGTGGTAATATACCGAATGAATGTTGGGGCGTGAAAGCCAAGATTAATAGTTTATCTTCAACTGTGAATAATAAAGAGACTCAGTCTGAAAGGAACAAGTTCCTTACATTTTGCGAAGAATCTGACATAGATTCCGAGAGCAGTGTCCCTTTATCAGATCTTACATCACATGCCTATGTGGGTCAAAATCCAGCTTCTCCATTCATCCTAGAAACCTCTTATCACAGTAATCAGGTAAATGAAGATTTATTGAAGAAAGTGGTATGCCTTATCCAAGACGAGCTGGCATTTGGTAGCTGTCAGGAAAATACAGATAACACTCTGGATATAGGTACGCATTAATACTTTACTGTCTAATCAGTGCAAAAAATATAATGGGCCAGACACATTGCTAGAGTTTCTTGGGGCTTAAGGAGAATGGGTGGGCTCTGACATAATTACATTGACTGTAATTAAAATCCCCAAAGATTCTCTGTACCTTTGAAAGTTTTGTATAGAAAGAAAAATTCTATCTACTAGAGTTTATCCCATCACTGGAGCTCTATAGTGCGTAAAAATACTTATATATACACTACTGTACTTGTTTTTTAAAAAAACAAAAAACTTCACTCTATATAGCTTTCATTTTATCTATTTATTTATTTATATTTTTCTGCTGTGCTTCCTCCAGAGAGGTTGAGATAAGTTTGTGCAGTCACCCACTCACAAACATGCACATGAATTAGTTGTAGACTTTTTAAAAAAAGAAACAGTGCAGTTTTTATTTATTTATTTATTTTTTCTTAAACCAGGTAAATACATTTTGAGTTTAAAGGATCTCAAGTACAACACTTTCTGTAATGTAATTTCTGAGAAATTTTGTGATGTTCACTGGGAGGAGGAACTGTTAGCAAACCTTTATGATGCAGTAAATGGTGGAACTCCTCCATCTGTAAGGTAAGTGATTCCCCTGTTAGACTTACTTAGATTTCATTTAATGTATTTTCTGGCTGCAAACAGTGATACCTTTTGGTATCTGCTATTAACTAGAAATGAGTAAGGTAGCATTACCACCTCCAGAGATGTTTTGTTGCTTCCCCCCCTGTAACTGCAAGAGCCAATAAAAGCCTTCCTTCCTTCCAAGCTGTTAATCTTTTTCATCATCCTTTTCTCTAAGGAACTCAGAATAATATAACTGACTTCTCACTTTATCTTTGCAAAATTCCAGTAAGTTGGGTTATGTGGAAAGGAAATGATTGGTCCAAAGTTACCCAATGAACTTCATGGCTAAATAGGATTTGAACCCAAATCTCTGCAATCCATACTTGGCTTGTTATATCACCTCCCCATTTTAAAAATGCACAAGATGGTGAAATTTGGGCTTGCAATTCCATGTTCTTTGGCACTTTGTGTTACTTTTCTGCTGTTTGCTATCCCATGCGGTCTTTCAGTGTCCTCTGTTACATGTTTTATGTTGATTGCTTCATCATAATCATAATCATAATCACAATCATCATCATCATCATAGTCTTTCAGTGTCTTCTGTTACATGTTTTATGTTGGGTGCTTCATCATAATCACAATCATCATCATCATCATCATCATCATTATTTGGCAAGACAATCATTTCAATTACACTGCATATGCTTGGAAGGGCTATGAAAGAAGTAGTGAGACTGACAAGAATCTTGGGTTGGAATTGCTAAGACTTTCATAGAGGAAGGGTAAGGATTCTTGTGAATAGTTCTGACAGATTGAACTTTATGCTCAGTGTAATCTGAATTTAGGTGACAAAACAACCTTGTTGATGGACAGGGTTTGATCAGTGACTGGATTGGAGACCAACAGGGGAATACTGGAGGAAGAGGTGTGGTGTTCATACTTCCAACATCCCTTGGCCTGTTCTGCTGATATGTCAAAAAGTCTCTTGTTTGTATTAGCCTCTTCTTTATGCTGCCTTCACGTGATGCAGTATTACAGTGATCATCTACTCTTCATCCTTTTAATTTTCTTTAAAATGTTTTTAAATGTGTGTTGGGTTTTGTTCTCTGGTGTGAATTCTGAGCAAGGCACTGGAATTCTGGTTTCAAATTGCATGCCAAGATTGCCTTCCCTTTTGATATCTCCCTCTAAAACATGGAAGATTGGATCCTTGCATGTAATCATTAAAGTTAAAACAGTGTAAATTACTTGTTTAGGAAAGGCATGTAACAAGAGGGGATTTAGGCATGTAAGAATTGTGCAGGAGCTTGAGCTGAATAGCACATCTGTATGGACATAAACACAGATGCACTGACATAAACATGAATACACCCATGAGAGGGTGTAAAGTGCTCCACAGTGGCGACTGCAAGTTGCTGTGCAATCAAAACACAGTCCCTTTTGTTCACGCTATGAAGTTTGCTCTCTGGAGGCTAGTTGTATGCAAATATATTAACTTTTAAAACTCAGCTAAGTGAATAATAAAGTTATTTGCCTTTTCAGCTTCAACATTAAGTGCAAGAAAGACTCAAACCATATGGTTGGCATTTAATGGAAGCTTATATCATGGATGCCTCTAGTACGATTTCATGTTTCTGATGTCTCACTTGGTAAATATGTGGGCGTAATGCAGAAAAAGAAATCCGGTTACCTATTCCCTGACACAATATGTCTGAGGGGGGAAAATCTGTTAAAGAGGCAAATTTGTTTGCAAGGAAGAAGCCCCCAAAGTAATATACTTACTCTTTTATTAAATATTAGTGTAGTCAGTAGACGTAACTGAGAATTTGTCAGGGGGCTGGTGGTTGAATAAAAGATGTGGCAGATATCTTAAGAATTACTTGTCAAAAATTGAGAAAAATCATAGAAACTCTAAGTACCTGGTTCATTTTCTTTTGTGTTTTAGTGAGGGCATGTTCATACTTACTGTCTTGAGGGAACTTTCCCTTTTAGATGCCACAGTTCTTTTGGTGCTTTGCAGAAGACTTTGGGGAGCATATGCAAAGTTGGTTCATCTGAGGTATTAATTAATCTAAGCATGCTGACCCTAATTATTTTCCTCTATGAACAGGAAACCCAGAACAGCCATTCTCAACCTTTATTTGGCCACAGCCATAAACATAACATGAAAGAAATATAGGCCCAATCGGGATTATATACCATATTTTTCCATGTATAAGACTATACTTTTGTCTAAAATCTTTAGACTAAAAATTGAGGGTTGTCTTATACACAGAAGTAAGCTGAGGAGAGAACAAAAACAAGTGGAGGGGAAAGCAGGGATCAAAGCTATCCTGCAGCGCTTTGATCCCTTTCTCGCCACCCCTGCTAAGCCCCACTTAGATTTCTTAATTTTGGATTAGAAAAGTGGAGGGTTTTATACATGGGGGCATCTTATACACAGAATAAATATGGTAAGTCACATAACAAACTTTATAAGGTGGTGTGTGAAGAATTATTTCCAGTCTGTGGCCCCCTTCAAATGTGACGAGGGGGGCAGAGGACCATATCCCCCCCCTTGAGAATGGCTATCCCTAGAATATGCCTGTGTTGCTATGCTTTGCAGGAGAAGATTGGTAGTCGCAGGCAAGGGACACTTTTATGCCACTGCTGATCTTTACATTGAGTGATCCTGGATAAATAGCTAAGCAAACCCCAGAAGGTCATTTGAAAACCATTGCTCTTGGACAAATCTTACAATTCCTAGCACATATGATAGGAGATAAGAAAACCTGTGTGTGCAGAAAGTTTTATTGTTTTCCTGACTTATATAAGCCTTTCCTCTGGTATAACAATTTGATCTGAACTATCTTTCTCTGTGCCCTTCTCATAATTATTTGGCTTTGTTGCAATCACTTCTTTGCCACATGAACACTTCTAGCCCATCTTTTTAGTCAGGCAGGCTAATTTTGGTTCTGAAGACTCCAACAACACTGTGTTTTTAATTGCATCTGCTGTTTTCCCCATCTTCTTTTTTTTAATATGTCCAAATTCTAAATCCTGATCTGCATGTAGTAGACATATGAATTCCAGAAGCTGTGATGGTATTGGCTAGAGGTTCTCTAAATGGAAGATGGAGGGACTGTTGCTAGGCAGTTGAAGAAGTGCTTCTGAACATGCCTGCTGGCAATCCCTCATATAATGGAAGTTTAATGCAACTGTTTTTCTATCTTTCTTAGAACCAAGGGAGTTTAGGAGAAGGAAGAAGGAGCAGCATAATAATCTATTCCCCAAGGTAGTGAGACTGTTGGAGTTTTGTAGAAAGAGAAAGCAATGGAGGGAAACAATAACAGTGGTTTCCCAACTTTGGGTCCCAAGATGTTCTTAGACTACAACTCCTCGAAATCCTCACCAGCACAGCTAGTGGGGAAGACTTCTGGGAGTTTTGGTCCAACAACCTCTGGGGACCCAAGGTTGGGAACCACTGCAACATGAGGAAGAAGGAATGTAGAAGGACTATGTGGTACGAAGAATGGCTAGTTAAAACTATTGCCAAAACAAACAAACAACACCTGCGAAGCAGCTGGGATGTTAAGAGTAGACATGGTCTAGAGGGGCGGGGTAAAATTCCAATAAATAAACAAACAAACAAACAAACAAACAAACAAACAAACAAACAAACAAACAAATA